CTCAATAGCCTGTTGAAAGCAGTTGTAGGCCCATCTAACCAACCACGATCCTTTTTATGCAATATTGGGACTGGTAATGCCAATTTCACTTAGTTAGACAATTTTTCCTATTGCAGAAATCCGACTGATTTCTTTTTGAATTTCTAAGCCAGTGTAATTTTGCAGAAGAAATTAAACTCGATTCTTAAGGAAAACATCCTTTTTCTTATAAAAGCCATCTCTTTGAATTAACGAATTGCGCAAATGAGTCTAATATCAGACTTTTTGGTCTTTTCAACACAAAGTTGAAGTCATTACTTTTTTTTAAAACTTACAAATTTGTGGATTACAACTACATAAGTTTGTAGAGCAGTTTATTTGTCAGAACATCTTTATTGAAATGCCTTTACACAAAAACAACTGCAAGTCGTACCAACAAAAGGTAGCTACATTTATACGTCCAATCCGCATTTTTAAGCAATAAATCATTAATTAGTTTTCTTCACTTTTTTCTCGATAATCTGTGGTTGTACATCTTGATGGCCTATTGCTCGTACCACGAAGTCTACAAACCACGAAGGCATCAATGACAAAGGGATGTACATTAGAATTGCGTCCCAACCACAGTAGTACCTGTAAGAACTCATTTTTGTAAGTGAAAATGTTCATCTCCGAAATTTTATACCAACTCACCGATGCCTCGGGTACACAGCGGTTAGAGCGTGAAGATAATTGTCAACAACGTAGTGAATATTAGGTGAACTCATTGATATATAGATATGATTCCACATTTTTCCAACTAAAAACATCTTAGGAATTTTAGCTAAGACTTTTTGAAAATTCTAAAACATTCTGCTCACAGTGGTCCTTGAATCTTTCTCCGTATTCCTCTTTTGTCTCATCGTCGACCTTCGACCAAACCTGAGAGAAATATTATTGGACAGAGCTCAAGTCTTTCCTGTAATTTACCCTAGCATTTCTCATTGAAGTTTTCTTTTTAATTTCTGTAGAAAAACAAAAGCAGATCAAGAATTTCCAATTTTTTGTCTATTTAAGGGCGTAACCGCTAGGAGGATCGTAGGTGCTTTATTAGAGAAGTTTTTTCCAGTACAAATTGTTGCAGATCCATTGGATTACTTACCGCTTCTATCCTATCAAGCATGGCTTTT